TTGATGTTTAGTTATGTTTTCTTCAGTTGATTAGTCACTAATTTTGTGTTGGGGTTATTGTTTTGTTATTTAGAACAACCATGGACATATGGACATGAAGCAATCAATAAATGTTGCAAACCCACTCCATTGACTGTGTCTCTTTGGCCGGAGAGGCTATGGTGGTCAGCATTCACCAGTGTTATATTAACGAGTGAAGAGAAATCTCTAATAAGATAATGGATGGATGGATGGACTTATCTAATTTCTGGAGGGACGTTGAGCAGTTCAGTTTTTTTCTGCTTGTGTTTGGTTTACCTTTCTGTGCAAAATACCCTTAGAGGTGTTTTCCTGCATTCACGTCAGGTGATATATTGATCACATGATGTGGGTCAAAGTTTCTTGTGTGATTTTTGTCGGTGTGCTTTGAATCAATGGAATATTCTGCCTCAGCGTCAGAACTGTGCATTCACTGTGGTAGATCTGACCAGGTTTACGTAGAACATGATGGACCCTGTCTCAACCAAACTAAATGATCTTGGTCTCATCTGATCAAAGAATGTGCTCCCAATAGTCACAAGGATTCTTATGTTCTTTAGTAAAGTGTCAACTTGCACGGGCGAAAATTTGGATCTCGAAAATTGATATCCGGACACCACTACAATAACCTAATATGCGGATATACTAATGTTTGGGTCCAACCCTAGTATTATGGTCACTGCGGCTCTGACTAGTGGTACTATGTATTCTGTACCTCCTGTTTACTGTTACAACTGTGTTTTGACAGATTTTTAGCTGTTCCCCAATCTTCCTGTGGATGTTTCCATTTTTGTGAAGTCTCCGATTTTTGGCAATTGACTTTTGTTGCACTAATTATTACTTTTGGGGCCTGTGTTTTCAGCACAGTTTTTGTAAAGCATTTGTTTTTAATTGTTTATATAAGAAAATACTCTGCTTGACAATATAGGAATACTACTATTATTGATAGGTGATGCTATTTTGAATACTTAAACACTTAACTGATATTTCACTTCTGTTGTAGACTGTGTACATTAGATTCACACACAGCTGCATTAATTAAAAATAAGACTCACAACATTTATACTTAAGTCTGTCTTGTTTACATCAGTGGGCATGCCACCACATGGGGATGGTTCTGCCTTTTGTTATTGTACGACAGAGTCAAACTCATTATTGTGCCATTGGAGAATCAAAGGACAATGAAGGACAACTTTTTATTTCACAAAGTCATTAACAGTGTTCACTGACATGACCTTAAATTTTAAACTTCTACAAGTCTTTTATCATGGAGGTGTAACAGATTGCTAGAATCTATTTTTCTGGCTTTTCTTGTCTTTTTTAGATAGCGACAGCTGAAGAGAAACAGGAAAGAGAGTTATTAGCTACAGAAACCCCTCATGCAGGAACACCTCATTAATGACATTAATGTCTGAACAGGTTCAAAGTTACAGTGAACTGAAATGACATTTGGTTTTCATGATCAACCGTCATCAGTCACTGCTGTGCCTATGATCTCAGCGCTCTGCCAATTAAACTTGAAGGGAGGAGCTGATTTATTGGAACCTTTCATCGTTGTAACGGCCCAAATGGTAAAAAACAATAACAAAAAAAACATCAGTTGATGTTGACGCAACTTGCACAAAACAACTAAAATATGCCGGCTTTGACAAAAAGCTACTTCAACCGATCTAGTGGTTCATAAATGTCTGTACTAACTTTTTATGGCTGTCAAATACCTGTTGAGATTTTTCAGTCCGATGGAAAGCAGTGAACTGATGGATGCTATTCAAAAACAGTGCATGTTCCTAGTTTACATCCGTATTCTATCTGTCCCAGTTGGTGTTGGCTCGGCTTCAAACTTCACCCACATGTCTGGAAATTCATTGCTCCCTCACAACAGCTGACGTCCCCACCAACAACAAACAATAAATATCTTCAGTTCCTGGCATGTTCTTTTCCAGAGTCCGCAAAAGCCTTCAAGGTTTCCCACCTCACATGGAGACCGAACCTACAGGAGGTGTGACAGTTTAATGGAAAACACCCACATTCGGTTATAATGGTTATGTTGTAATGCCTTTTCATGGTGCACAGCTTCATGACCAATAAATGAGGCCTTTCAGGACTTTTGAAATCAATAAAATACCTAAATACTGGGGTGAAAAACATAATACGCTAATCTACACAGACATCCCTCGCTTACTTTCTGGCCTCTGGCATACAGAAGCAGAATGTCAAAAGAGAACGTTTTTTGTAAGGTAACATATAATTAGACGAAGATAAATGGGTTATGTTGGTGCGTTCTAAAGGCCAGGTTTTAATGTCCTGCAGAAAGAGAAGCACAAATCAGTCTTCTCCATAAGTGGGTCAGAATTTGACCTGTAAAACAGGCGCTATGACGGGCACAAGTTTACCGCTGGCGGGCAACGCAGCAGCGGCAGAAATAGCCTCTTTATGTATTGACTGTAGCACGGGATCATACATACAGGCCTTCAGTGATTCATCACTAACAGTAAAATGTACCCTCCCTGTCCTGCGTGCATCCCGTCGGCATGATTTACGAGGAGCAGTGGGACTGGGCGGCGAACAGTATCAGCATATCGCTCGTACTATTCTGGCTCGCAGATTTGGTTGCGTATGGTTTTAACCCAGAGTTCATAACCTTCACCTCCGTCACCTGTTCACTTCTCGGCCTTGTTCTGTCAAGAGAGATCGGGCTGCTTTGGAAGTCAGAGGGCACCTAAAGCGAGCGTCCGTCAGTCTCCTAGACCTGACCAGACTGACACCACTATGTGTGAGGATTCATCTTTAAACATACGCCACTGGGCTAAACTCCTATGAAGCTACTTGTGACTGCTTCAAATATGCAAGCATGTGATTCCTTCAAATAAAGAACTGAAGTGAATGTAGATAAGACAAACCAGCGAGCTTTATCATACACAGCTAGTGTTTGAATGAATAAAACTATTGGAGTCGTCTCACCGTGGGGCACAGAACAGATAAAACATTGCACAATCATCCAGTCACTGATTGGCCATATTAGGACAGCATCAATTTTCAAATATTAGTTCTGCCTTTTGATTTAATGAACCACAAGCCACTCTGTCTGCACTGAGGCGAAATTGCTGGCTTCTTATTGATGCAGGAAAAGAAATTTTAGGTCTCCTACCCCCATTTCATCCACCATGCTCCTCCAAATGTGCATGAGATCTATTTATAGCCGGCAGAGAAGAAGAAGCCTTTGAAGCACAGCTCTCACCAGTGCATGGCTACGTGTTTTGGAAATGGGTCCATCCACACTGTATTTAATCTATGAGTGTGTCTGCTGCAGCTGGTGGAAAGCAGGCAGCTACCGGGGCAGCTTCTGGGGAAAAAATGAGCAGGGCTGCACTGATACACATTACAGATCGTATCATAGCGTGGCTGCACAGCAACACAAGGCAGGAGTAGGAACGCGCTGCATTTATGTAACGGCAGGTTTAAATTTGATGTTGTTTGTGCAGTTTAAGTTAATAAATTGAATGCATGGCTTAAAATTAATGATTCTTCTGGTCTTTTAAAACCTAATCTGTTTAATAGGATACTTGAGATGATTGGCTCCCTCACATAAATGTTACCAGCTCCCATCCAATCAGGTGAAAGAGTAACATGAAAGCAGATGTGCACCAATTACAGTCCAGATTGGGATTTTTTTCTTCCTGTGAGGACTGTGCCTACACTCAACCTTTCATTAAATGTTTATTATAACGACTACTGCTCCGAACCATAGTATGAGAAATGCAGACAGCTCGTACAGAAGCATGTGATATCCATTTGCACGCATTTTTTGCACTTGTGTGAGCTTTGGAATATGGTCAGGACACTTCAACTCAAACAAGGGACCTTTTCATGTGAAATCAAGATGCACTTTGGCAGTAAAGTGAAGCTAAAAACCAAATAAATACATAAGATTAAAACCTATGAAGGCCAACAAACAAACCTCTACTGGATAGAAACAAGCTGCCAGTGTACAGTTCTAACAGTTTGTGGTCAAAGTCATAAGATGTACTCCCATGTCTGATTTAAAAGAGGATAAACCACTTTCACTTAAATGATTAAAACATCCATAACTCCACAGCAGTGCAAGTCAAAATATACAGTTTCTAGATATTGGAATACTTTTCATATTCAATTCAAATTCATTGAGTTAATACTGTTACATTACCCTTCAAACACCATCTTATCAGAGTCCTATGTGAGTATCAACTTGCTGTAGTTCGACTGTGACGTACGCTGAGCTGTGGGATGAATAATACAGTTTTCATTGCCGCGATTTTATTTTGGGTCACATAATCCTCCCCTTGCCTCCAGGAGGGGATAAGCAGCTGCATATGAACAGAAGAGTTTATCTCTAAAATCTATACGACAGGCAGGAAAGAGTTACAGTTATTTTTAGTCTCACAATGATGACAGTTTCCTAAATTTAAAAATAACGAAAACAGGAATTCTGACAAAACGCTCCTTTAACTGCACGTCAGTTTAATTAAAGTACACATTCACAAATCAGTGTAGCAATCGGATGCTTGTGTATTTCACCGTAGTGTATGTATTTCTGGAGCTAATCCATCATTTCTGTAACACATGTACATTTGTCAAACGATGCTTCTAATCTTTTCAGTGCATCTCACAGTTTTTGTAACACAGTACAACCGTAAACTAAAATCTATCTCAAGTATATGAAAAATCATTAATAACAAAATTATGGACAAAGAGTTCCTTTGCTTTAAAATCTTCAAATGTATCCATAACATGCAGACACATCGTGGGAGCAAAGTCAAATGAATTCAAGTGTATCCTGCCAAAGCCTCCTTGTAATGACCTCTCACGATTTAAAGTCCTGATGAGAGCTACAGTGTCTTTTTTTTTGTTTGCTCAATATTTTGTCCCTTCCACGCTCATGCAAATACTTCCATCGGCTAAAGCACCGCGGCCTTCTCCTGCTGTTCCTGAGTTGTGGATCACAACAAGGAAGGTGCTCAGATCTTCAGGTCGTCCAGCCTGCTCTTGTTGTTGTTGTTGCTGTGCTTGCTTGACTGACTGTTCCTGCGCGGATTTTCAACAGGCATCTCAAAGACCGAAGTGGAGGTTTTCCTCTCCTTCATGTCGTCTCCCTCTGCTTTACCTTTCCTCTCCACGGCCATATTATCTCTGTTCTGCTTGTAAACCACTTTGCTGTTGTAGGGGCTGTAAGGAGAGTTGGGCTCTGCCATGCTGTACTTTGGGTCCGTAGGGAAAGCTTCAGGCACTGCAGGGTGACCAGCAAAGTAGCTGTAGTTTGGGACGTAAGGCATTGCGGCCTCGGTAAGGACTTTGGGAGCCTGCTTTGCAGCACGAGATCGTCTGTAGCGAAGACCCTGGTGGCAGTTTTTGAAACCTAGATGGTACATTTCCACCAGGTTTAGAAGCAGGGAGACGCAGGCCACAGCCAGCATGAAGAGGATGAAGATGGTCTTCTCAGTGGGTCTGGAGATGTAGCAGTTCACCATGTTGGGGCAAGGCCAGCGGTCGCAGGTGTACATCGGCTTGAGCTCAAAACCGTACAGGAAGTACTGAGCTACAATAAACGCCACTTCAAACAGCGTCTTAAAAATGATGTTGAAGACGTAGGTTCGCAGCAGTGCACCATGCAAGCGCACGTGGCCCAGGTTGTCTTTAACTGAGCCCTTCTTGGGCTTGTTGCCGAGTAACTGCTGCTGGTTTTCATGCTGTATGGCAAGCTCCTTCAGTTTCTGCTTCTCCTTTTCCTCCATGCGGACCAGATGGAGGATGTGGCCCAGATAAATGAGAGTGGGCGTGGACACAAAGATGATCTGCATCACCCAGAAGCGGATGTGGGAGATGGGGAAGGTCTTGTCATAGCAGACGTTCTGACAACCGGGCTGCTTGGTGTCGCACGTGAAGCCGGACAGCTCGTCGCCCCACACCTTCTCAGCGGCGGTTCCCAGCACCAGGATGCGGAAGATAAATAGCACTGTAAGCCACACTTTGCCCACAACGGTGGAGTGTTCCTGGGCGCTCTCCAGCAGCTTCCCCAACAGGTTCCAGTCCCCCATACTGGCTCACAAATATACCCTCGGCTTTATGGGCGAAACCAGGAGAGACGCCTGTAAGGAGAGGGGGTAAGGTTTTAGTTTTGCTTGGAAAAAAACACTGTAATGAAGCAAAATTTGGCATTTCTTTGTGCATTTTCTAGTTTTCTGTATATTCCAAAACTACACTATATGACATCAGATAACAAGTTAAAGTTACAGTAACTTCATTTTTGACCATTTAAGGGCTTTAACACAAGCAGTAAAGACAACACTGATACCTTTGAAGTCGATATGCCTCTGTCCCCTTGGTTTGAATGTTCACTCTTCTTCTGGCTCTGCTTTTGGCAACAATTCCCAAAGAAAAGATTTATTATGAAGCTGCTAAATGCACCATTCAGTACCATCAGACCAATCAAATTTATTTAGTTAGCAACATCCTGAGTTAACCAAAATGCTGTATATGTTAACATTTTTTTTAAAAAGGAGCAACAAAATTTTATGCAAAATATCAAGACAGGAGAAGACTAGTAAAATCTAAACATGAACACAAACAAATAACAGAAGAAGATGCTAAATCTGGCAAAACAGCATGGCAACTTGTAAGACCAAAAGGTACTGGAAACAATGTCAATGCAGGGGAACTATGCGATCTACTTTCTAATTTTGTTTTTAGCTTAAAGTTGGTTTTTCGACTTCAAAAAATGACTGCTGTAGGTGAATTCTGTTCAAACGGTGGCTAGGACAGAGATTTCATGTCATTTATACGCTACCAGTGTGCAGTGCACTTATTGTAATCATGTCAAACATTCTATCAAGTGCATTATTAAAACATCTGATCCCTCCTATTAATTATCTAAATTGCCCATCTGCACCCTTACATAATAATCACATTCAATAAACAGTAGAAATGAACTAAAGCTGCATTGTTGCTGTGGAATTAGCTTCAACCCTTCCCTTCATAAATACAGCATTTCATTCCATTTTTGCTAGTTACGTCACTTGCACACATCCAACCACGAAAAAGGACTGTGGTTCAGGACTGTTTCGAATGGAAACATTGATCCATCATGAATTCCCTGTTTGTATTCCTAAGTCCGAGTGTATGCGAATAAAAAGAGCCAGGACACAGATGACTGTGTCTGAGGGAAAGCCCTGGAGCCGCCACGGTGAGACCTCAGACTCGCCATAGATCTTGTGACACAGTACCCAGCAGTAGTCCCCGTCTCCAGAATTAGGTTTCTAGTTTAGATTTCATGGCCTATTACTTACAGCATAGCAACAAAAAAAGAGACATTACGTTAAAAATAGTTTACTCGTCCTTCAGAGTGATCAGTGCTCAGAATTAGACAAAGCGGGACTCTTAACACCTGTTTGAAACACATTTAGCCTGTGAGCCAAGAGTGAAGGAAACTTGTCACACATTTGAATTTGTTGAAACTGCACTGAACCTTGGCTTGAATTTAATTTATAGCTTTATACTTGGTTATACTATACAAGAGGTGCTGCAGAAAACTATTAGAAGTTTTGAACGATTAGTATATTTAACTGTAGCGTAGACTATGATCATTAAGTAAACCATCCAAAAAAAGTTTTTTCTTGGTATCTTCATGCAGAAAGACCCACCTGATAATGTTCATTTCCTTCAGCGTCACTGAGCGACTGAGCCTCTTCGCTTCACTGAGAGGCCATGCTCTCCTGAACCACTGAGGAAGCTCCAAGACGAACCTTCTCTCAGATACTTTTCACTACAAATGATCACTGTGATCCTGCCTGCTGCCCTCCCTCCCTCTCTGAGCTTATCAACGGCCGGCGTTCAACGCAGCACCACAGCAGAACCACTGTCTTGTCTCACATGAAGCCGTTCCCGTCTGTAGAAAAGTCTAAAAAACCCCTTCTCTTGAGAGGTGTTCCTGTTCAACAGAGTGACAGCTGATGAGTCCAGTGAGGATGATGCAGGTTTCATGTCGGTGTGTCTCTAAATAGAATTCATGTCGAAGGGAGTGACTTTGTTGTGACTCTTATGGTGCTCTGACCCTTGACTGTGTGGAGGAGCTGCAGACCCCTGCACTGAAGGTTACTGCTTAGTAAATAACAGTCAAACTTTATGCAGGGTGCTATGCGTCGTCAAGTTTTAAGGTTGTTGTTTTAAAAGGTAATGTACTACACTTAGCTCATTACTTAAAAAAAGAACAATCCATTACTTTATTCCTTTACTTAGTGGAGAAAGTAACTCCTTACACTACTTGTGACATTACTTTTACCATTACTCCTCAGTATCTCATGTGATTACCAGCTAATGAGACGTTAACCCTTACACCTGCCATATCAGCACAGATTCCTGTCCTAACAAGGAAGACATGGAGATTTTTCTTTGTGCTTTAATAAGATATGATCACAAAAACCATCTGATAATCAGCCCAAGAACTCCCAACAGAGAAACTTTGTGACAAGAACAAAACTCTTCTTTATGTGTAAGAAAATAAAGTTCGCTCTGGGAGCAGGATAGATGACTTTAAATAGAAGAAGTTATTAAAAGTGATTAGTGGCTGGAATGGGATTACTGTGTTTAGGAACAGACAAGTGTAACACGATTACAGAAATGTGGTGTTACTTTGTAATATCTGTGGACACACTGGTGTCCTCTGAAAGTCTTTTTTACTTTTGTTTCAACTCAAAGTTTCATTTACAGTTGCTCCACTGCATTTACTCATCTGTAAATACGTATAGTTTTTTAAAATTCGTTTTTGTTTTGCCCTTTACTTTAGTCCTTCCAGCTTCTGTTGCTTTATACTGCACATTGTTACATTTATTCAACAACTTTTCCAACTCAAATTTTCATCTAAAACCGATGATCTGCTTTGAAATGTGTTCCAAATGACCCTGTCAAAAACAGAGAAGATAAAACCAGGTCCATAGTTATTATTCCCATAATGTACTTTGCAGTTTTTCAAATAATATACAACACTGAAATGAGCCATTCTACATAATGAGCACTTTTACTTTTGGCTGATAATACTCTGTACTTTTAGTACAGGTGCACCTGTGAATGCAGTGCCTTGCAATGTAATGTTAATTTATGATTTTACTACTTCTACAGCCAATCAGCATGGCAGCTGATGACAGCTTTTGCCATTAAAGTCTGATCTCTGTGACACATATGATCTCACAGGATGACAACATTTTAATTAAAGAGCCAACCAGTGTTGTAGCTGACTTTCTGAACAGCTTAATAATCAATCATATCCTTAAAAATGTCAAAATCAACCTCCTTCTGCTGAATTGTGGGTGGAAAGTGAAAGTTTGGTCAGACACAGTCACACCAAATACTAACCACAGACTGAAATAACAGAGACTTGTTTTTGTTGTCGTGCTGCAAATATGCTTTTTTTCAATCTTGAACTCTGTAGATGGAGCACGGGTGACACGTTCCATAAAAAGAGAAGTGCCCTCATTCCTGTGCCGTGGCAGGTCCAGCTGTCTGCAGGGTCAGCCATTGTCACCCACACGCTGACCCCCGTGCATAGCGAGGCTATTGATAACCCCTAAACTCTGCCCTCTGGCCTTCACCAGAAGAACTTAATCTGCCTGGGAAGTCTCCTCACAGGTTGCAACGTGGGCTCCAGGGATTTCACGCCTAAAGATGGTGATGGAGCCACTTGATGAACGATGAAGCTTCGTTCATATATTTGTTTTTCTCTCAGACCCCCTGTTGACAGCTAAGACGAATCACAAAGTGGTACCTTTGTGACTGCAGCATAATTTGTTGTTATAGATGACTGCTGCTCTCTGGTCATTTATGGTATTACAGCTCCACTCAGTTAGGAACTCCTACCAAATACATCATCACTATGTCAGGGTCAAAGCCAATCAGCTGTGGATGGTTCACGAGTCACTTCAGCGTGCGAAAAAACTTCATAAAAATGACACAGTTACATCAACTCTGGTGGATTTTATTCTGTTCTGTATGGACAATATATAAACATCCAGCTTTAAAATGAATACATTTAAATAACATGTTTAGCATCAGTAGTAAACTTCAGAAACAAAAATTTGCAATTCAAGTTTTTTTTTCTGTTTTGAGTTGTTGCTTTGTTTTCATCCAAAGGGATTTAAATACCAAAGTAAATCATCTGTAGAGAACAAACACTGTTATGTTTAGCATTTCTGAAGTGCAACCATAGACTGCATGTAAAAGATGGATGCAGCCACGCTGACATCACTGACTGATTTGTGGACTGCTGAGATTGATACTCACCCGTTCCCTCGTTGCTCTTTCAAAGCATGACGTGAGGAGTGATGGGTGAATCTGACAGAAGACACGCCCACATATACTGCACAGTAGTGACCTCACAATCACAAGGTAGTTCCACCCTAAACCATATGCAGGATGTTTTGTTCGTCTATTTAACTCCAAAGTGGACAATAATTCACAAAATGGACACCATTCTTTATTCAAAAAGTCTTGGAACTAGCAGTTGAAACCATCGACCCATTCAGCAAATCTTTACTGAGGTAACAAATCAAGTTGAAAATTGGGTCAGTTTCTCTCATTCTTCGACACAATCAGACTTCTTGTTGCAACCAGAGGAGTCGCCCCCTGCTGGCTGTTTGAAAAACTGCCTTTTTAAAGCACTACTGCATCCCTTCTGAAACCCAGAGGCTACGTCCATCTTTTATATACGGTTTATGAATGCAACAACCCTGTACAGGATAAAGCAGGTGTAGCTATGAATGAATGAATGAATGAAGTGCAGTATGTTTACCATGTATTAGTGCAATAACTCACCAATAACAGCTGAAGAAACAAGACATCCTTCAGTCCATTAGATTCCATACTGACTTAAACAAAAGCATGACATCTGTGATTATAGTTGACTTATATGATAGAGTAAAATTAATAATATTTCTCATAATTTCACTACATCGGCACACTTTTCTGGGACAGTCTGCATGTGGCAGAGGTCACATTTCATAATTTGATGTTCTCATTTCAAGTTCAAAAGTCAAAACAAATCTATGATAAGAGAAGAACGTGGTAAGTCGGAATATTTCTTCACAAAATGTTACTAAATTGATCTTTAGTTGGCCAAACATCAAGCTATCATATTAAGTAAGTACTAAGTGCTGCTGTATACAGTGTTGTTTTTTTTTCATTTAAATCTTTGCACAGGTTTTAACTTATCAATAGATACTGAAACCTAAACTGCTGGTGCAAAAATAGTCTGAATTTTTCTCCACACTGGAACTAAATGCTGAGATTATAACCCACTGTATACACCGTTACCATGTCATGATGGGATGTCCAGTATATTTTAGGAACCTTGCTCACGAGTTGAATCAGTAGTTGTTACCTGAAAGTGACAGGTCACTTATTTGTCCCTTTGAGTGGTATGAAATACGTGTGTTTTGTTAGTATGAGCAAAGCTTTTGTTGGATCCAAGCTCCCATAGTCGAGTCTCCAGCATTGTGCAAATGCTTACTGCAGGCCTTCCCCACCAGGAAGACCACCTCTGCGATGTTGAGCAGAATACAAACCCCTGATGCCGCCAGCATGAACACGGTGAAGACAGTCTTCTCTGTGGGCCTCGACACAAAGCAGTCCACTGTGTTGGGACAAGGGTACGAGTCACACTTCACCAGCCGGATCATCTTGTAGCCGGGGTAGATCATATAAAACACATACATGAAGATGACCTCGAAGATGATGCGGAACAGCAGGCTGATGACGTACGTCCACCACAGGGCTCCTGTGATTTTCATCTTCTGGGTCTTTATCTGCTCCAGGTCTTTGGGATTGGTCCGCCCCGACAGTTTGTAGAGCCTCTTGTCAACGTGGCGGCGGTGGGCCACATGCATGGCCACCAGCAGGGCTGGAGTGGAGACCAGGATGAGCTGCAGCGCCCACAGGCGGATGTGGGAGATGGGGAAGAAGTGGTCGTAGCAGACGCTGTTGCAGCCCGGCTGCTGGGTGTTGCAGGTGAAGCCGGACTTCTCGTCGCCCCAAACGCTCTCGGCTGCAACCACCAGGACCAGGATGCGGAAAATGAACAGGACAGAGAGCCAGATGCGGCCAATGCCGGTGGAGTGTCTGTTCACGCCGCTGATGACAGCATAAAATGATGCCCAGTTCATCTTTGGTTCCGGGTCTGAAGCAAAAGCACATATGACAGGGTCAACATGTGGGAGAAACAGCACTGTGTATTATTTTATATTTTTTGTAGTTTTTTTTGTAGTTTATTTTTTTCCCCACTACATGGAAACATGATAGAACACAAGACAAAACAAACCTGCAGTACATCATCAATCATCCATCCATCCATTATCTATACACCCATCATCCTCACTAGGGTCATGGGGGGCTGGAGTCTATCCCAGCTGACTCAGGGTGAAGGCAGGGGACACCCTGGACAGGTCACCAGTCCATCACAGGGCTACACTTAGAGACAGACAACCAAGCACACTCACATTCACACCTACAGACAATTTAGAATCACCAATTAACCTCAACATGTTTTTGGACTGTGTGGGAGGAAGCTGGAGAACCTGGAGAGAACCCACGCTGCACGGGGAGAACATGCAAACTCGACACAGAAAGATCCTGGGTGTCCTCACCAAATGCAATTTAAAAACAAAACATAGCAAAAATATTTTCACAGCTAAAACAGAAATATTTGCTTTTTGATTCTAAAAATGAATCTTAATAATCTTTGAATGACGCCTGCTATGCTCTCTAATACGTCTCAGATTTTTCAAAAGCAGAGACAAACGAACACTGCCATAATAAACGAAACAATTTTCCTGGTTTGCTTTTACTCTTTCAATGGAAAGTGACCTTCCTGGTGTCGAGTAACGCCTGTGTGTAATTCTGTAATCTTTAGATTTCACCACAGCATGTTTTCCCATATAGTATGTCCTCTCCTTTTGACATTTTTACAGTTTCCAAAACCAAATGTGCACACTAAAGGAAATTAATTTATTTTTATTTAATTCTTTTTTCCATGTAATGACACCTTTTGGCTGTTTATGCAGCGACTCATTCATAAGGTGCCTTTAAAGCTCAGCCGTGCCCGTTTAGCTCCCTAAAAAAATCTTTAAAACGTTTATAGAAATTACTAATACTAGCACAACAAGACTATTTCTGAATATAACATTAAATTTTGTGTCACTGATGATTTTTAAAGAGGAGAAAAGTTATTTAACATTAATTATACAGTATTCTCTGTATAATGATGTAGTACTTTACTGTATGTTTTGCAATATTTAGTATTTATATATCGACGTTTTTACTTTTATTACTCAAGTATGTTCAAACCCGACCCCGTAGTTACATCGTATTCAATAGAGCAGATTAAATAGTTTAAAGCTGAAATCATGATTAGATGATTCACTTTCAGAAAATTTAGATTTTGAAAAAAAATAAAAAATTGTAGAGATTTGCTGCTTTTCTTTTCCTCTGTGGCGTAAATCTGAATAATTTGGGTTTTGATCTGTCAGAAAGACAAAACAAGCAAATATCAGACATGACATTCGACAAAAGAAACTTTAAACTATTCTCAACACCTTTCTACACCACAGTTTAGAGTAAAAATCATCAATCATAAAATAATACAAAATAGAAGAATAATATTTGCAACTCCAGCCGCTAACACCAACAGCGCTGTAGAGCAAATGACGATAAAGTAATTAAAGTAAAGAAGCAGTAAGTTCAGCTCCCAAACCTCTGTTGTCTGTTAGAAAACAGAGAATGAAGGGTGATGCTTTAATATTCAGAAGCAAACTTAAAAATCCTTCTTTAGTAGTTAAATATTAATCCACACAATACCGTACCTTGATGTCAGTGGGACAGTTTAGTTGCAGCAGCTAAGAAATTTGTACACAAAGAACTAAAGTTTTTGTAATTAAATTTTCAGTTGTCTAGTTTTTCTTCTCACTAAATTAATAAATCCCAGGTTTTCCAAGTCCAGACAACAGACAATGTGTACTGTATCCTCTGTGCTGACCAGTGCTCATTTATCTGTGACTTCTGCATGTTTGCATTTCCAGTCTAGTGTAAATGTCAGAGTTGTTACCGGGCTCAGCTGGAGGTGTAAGAGGCATAGGAGGCAGCGTAGAGGACAATGTTGACCCGCTGGTTTGGCATGGATGTGAATCCAGAGAAGAAGAAAGCCTCTCTGCCCCCCTCTGCTGCTGGCAGGCCACTTAAGAGTGCAATACTGAGGTCTGGCACCATGTGTCATGTGACATACTTTCACCAGTCGCCATGGTCTAGCATGCAAAGTGGGCATCTGTGCTCAGCATAACGGTGTCTGTAATACCTTCTTCACTTTTTGGCAGGGAAAATAACTTGTGCTCCAAAATGGACATGATGAGGAAAGATAAGCACCAATCTGGTTTTTAATTTATTACAATTTAAGCAATATGAGCATTCAAGCCCTATTTTGTGACCAAGTTAAACAATAAAGACAGCCGATAATTCAGTTTCATTACTCAGTTTTGGATGAAATTTCATTAAGTGCATATTTTAAAAGATACCTTTCCCCATATTCTCTTTTATCTGACTTTCTAAACTCCCTTATGCCAAATAGAGTAACAGCAGAGCACAGACGACCCACAACCACAGAATAAAACTGCTGAACACACAAAACAAACTGTCCAACGTCTCCACAGCTACACAATCTGGTGATACAGTGAGAAATAAAATTAGCTTACCCTCAGCTGCAGTTGTGAATAAAGTACATCCAGCAACATTTACGTTGGCATTAGCAGATTTTTTTCAGTCTATGACTGTGAACAAGAGTATCAGAGCACCATGACTTTGCATTGCTAATGATTTCTCTCACACTAGCCACTGCCCTGCACTGAGGAGGTCATATGCTTTTGTGCAAAGAATTTGCATACAATAGCCCCATTTAGCCCGAGCAAACAAACAGCTTCAGAATTCAGATCAAACGTTTTAATTTCTGCCCAGCTGAAGAATCTGTGTGGGGTCTGCGGTCTGTCCACTGCTTCTTATTGTGCTGTGTTCAGCAGAGGAAGCGGAGGACGTTTTTGACGCAATATGGAGTAAAACATAAAGGTCTAAAACAAAGAATGACACATAAAATCTAAAGATAAGAGGACAAGGGTTTGTTATCCTAAGAATCAGTCCCTCATCTAGCTTTTCTCCTCAACCTTTACATCCACGTTGCTGCTGCTGCCTGCTGAATATTTTGATTCAACCACTGAATGATTGTGCTTCACTGTGGAACCAAATGGAGACGTTTGACGTGTTTCTTCTAAGTGGGATTAATTGCTAGATTTTCACACTGAATGACCTCCTCAGCTCCCTCTTTGTAATGTTGACGTTTGTTGTAGCTGCATAAAGCTGCCTTTTTTATAAATTAAAATCAGCAGATACATTTATAAAAAATCCACACAGGCTTGGTAATATAATGCACTGTGTGATGTTATTAAAGAAGAGACAAGCTGAAGAATCCAATTTTAAAGTTGTTGTTATATAAGACTTTTCTCAGATAACTTGTTACATTTCCAAGTGCTTGTAGTGTCTATTAGATTTACATTAAGAGCAATGATTGGAGTAAGAACATAGAGGCTCCATGAGTTTGTGAAATGCATGTTATGTTTTTGGAATTTAGAACAAGTGCTAAACCAATAAAAGAGGTCTTAAGGTCATCAACAGTTCACTGTAACCTGAAGAAGGCCTGGACCGAGGTAATAATGTCATACGACATGGTGTCATGTGTAGAATTACACATCTCAATGCTCAGTTGGGAAATAATTCTTATTAATGTAGTAAAAGCCAGGATCCCTTATTAGGATCCTTGAGGGACACCTTTAGCAACCGACTGGATTTAAATACAATATTATGATCAACCTTATCTAAAGCCTTGCCAAGAGTACAGCAAATATTTTGATCTCTATGGGAGCTGTGATTATGCTTTATGTTCCTATGGGAGCAGCTGAATTTGTTGAATGGAACAAAATGTCATGTTCATGCCCACAAACTGTATTCACACTCTAATATCTGAATACCAAATTAATGAATCAGTGGTGGGTGTCATAATGTTATTAGTGTTTTTTAATAATCTATTCTGTCTTATTGTCAAATAGCAGCATAAATATTAATGCTTCTGTTTGGCTGTTAAATCCTTTCTTCCAGTTTCCTTCAGTGAGGACAATAAGAATCAATACGAAAAAGGACAATGCATTGATTTCCATTAATTATCCAAACCTTGATTCAAATCAAACCAAATTTGACATCGATGGGGTCGAGTCCCTGGACACTGCTGTTGACACTTCTTGATATTGACATTCTGATCAACTCTGATCACAGTGAACAGCTGCAACACTTCAACTGTGTTTCTGATTTAACAACCGCCGTTACCTGTAGGAACAACGCTACCAACAGATTCTAGAGCAATGCAAGGCTATGTTAAGACTTAACAATGTGATGTGTTTAATTTTTTTTTTCTTGCACTCTTGCACATTATTTGCATTACATTTTAAATAGTGCATTTTACTTCAACTTTATATCACACTTATTGTGCATTTTAGATCATTTTAGATTTTCTTATTGTTTATTTTTACTTAATTACCTGTTTTTATGAAAGTGCTAACTTTACTATTTCTGCTCTAATAACCAAATGTCCCCTCAGGGATTAAGAAAGTATTTCTATTCTATTCTATTCTATTCTATTCTATTCTATTCTATTCTATTCATTAAGTAAATGGTTGAATTCTGTATATTTGTAATGCTGCTGGTGGATATAAGTAAAGCATTTAAATGTGTGTGTGTTTGTGAGTGTGTGTGTGTGTGTGTGTGTGTGTGTGTGTGTGTATTTGCAGTTTATCTGTTGTCTGGTGCTTCAGTTCAGTCTGCAGGATGACATCTGCAGGTCATTAACAGTTACTGCAATGTCTCAGTTCTGATTCTCTGATTCTGCAGAAACAAGAAGATCAGCAGCAAACATACAGTACCTGAGCAGTAGAAGTAGTACTCAGATCTTTTATTTAAATACCACACTGTAAAAATACTCCTTTACATGTTTTTTTTGGAAAAGCACTTTAAGTATAATAAGTATAATCAGGAAAATGTACTTCAGGTTTTGAATGCAAATGTACTAAATGCAGAAAAACTATATACAGAGTAGTTTATCTGCTTATTATTTTATCCATTAACTGATCAGAGAAACTCTTGGTTTGAAAAACTAAATAAACAAAAGTAAATACTGAGTTTTAAATGACAAGCTCACAATTCTTATTGAGTATCAAAGAAGTTGTCCGTTAATTTCCTACATATTAATTGAAAAATCATGTCAGCTTATCTTGTATTTACAGTCAGCTGGTTAATTTTAAAACAAACATATTTAAAACCCCTTTTAAACGCAAAAGTAGTCACATGTATAGTAACTAAGCCTTGAAATGTACTTTATTTCCCTTGTAGCAAAGTAGAAGAATAGAGCTGCATGAGAAAATACTCAACTACAAGTACCTTAGACGAGTACTAAAGTAGAGTACTTGAGTGAATGTACTTGTTACATGTCACCGCTGAGTGAGAGCAGCAATTTGTTCAGTGATCCAAATCAACATTCTTCAAATGTGACACCTCAGCACAGGCCTCTGAGGAGAGAAACATGTGACTAGATAACCGGTGATTCATAGCATTTATATGATCAAGTCAGAAGGACATGTTTAGATATTTATAGATATCACTCAGCTGTGAGTACAGTGACCTTAATGTACTTGAATGGCCTTTTTCCCACCACTGCGAGTATCATTGTTGTATTTCTATGATGTCATACTTTTACATCCAGGTTTGCATTGTGTGTGTGTTTAAATATCTTGCAGTACTGCTGCTGTTGTTGTTGTAAGCCATAAGGAAGGAAGGAACACCTCTGAGCAAGCTAAGTCTGGTGAGGCTGCCTGTGCAACAAAGACAAGTCATAATCTGCTACTTAAGCCTGAATGCAGGAACACACCCAGTAACAGGCAGGTGTGACCTGTCTCACTGCAGAAGAACCACATGACTCTCATGATATAGTCAGCAGTCCACTCTGGGTGTGTCGGTTCAGTATTACTAGCTGCTCTGAGCACAGTGTTACAGGGAAGTGCTTATTTGTACCTGAAGCTGCACATTACCACCAAGGACCTGCACTGATGACCTCCAGAGCTGCTGGGGATTAAGAGCACCTCACTGGTGGTAGTTTCCTACCTGATCTATCCTGTCATTCTGTTGCAAATCTGCATCTTAGACTGGATTAGAGTTATCATTGTACAAGTAAAGTGCATAACAAAGAAATGCAGTTGGCATCCAATCAAAAGTGCAATCATGAACAAAGGTGACATGAACAGTGTGAATGGTGTGACTATAAAAATACAGGCAGGTGACAGGCTCAGTTCAATTCTTTATTTCGAACATATATAAAAATAAAAAGAGAAATAAAGTAAAATACCCATATCTATACATACACATATTCCTACATACACACCCACATACATTCTGTTGCCACTCCAGGAATAGTTGAATGTTAAGGAGAGAAAAAATACATCATTTGAACAAATAAATCATATGTCAGAAAGGGAGCAGGAGGAAACCAAGGCTTATTAATTCCTACCCATAAAACTATTACAGGTCAAACTCCAGCATATCTACGTTCACTACTCATCACCCGTCACATCAGTCACTCACTTCGCAACAGCAACCTCATCCACCTCCTCATCCCCAAAGCCTGCACTATTTTTGGCCGCTATTCATTTCAGTTTTCTGCAGCTCTCCACTAGAACCACTTACAGAAAACACTTCAACTCACCTCTTTTGTACCTCTATCACCTTTTAAAACTATGCTGAAGGCATTACTTACCGATTCCTGTACCTGCTTTTAGTGTATTTGATCTGTAAGCCTTTTATTGTTATGTTTTGTTTGTGTATTGATTTTTTTTTTTATGGATGTATTCCTTTTATTGTATTTTCTGTTCTGTGCTGCCTCTTGGCCACGTCGTTATTGTAAATGAGAATTTGTTCTGAATGAACCCCCCTGGTTAAATAAAGGAAAAATAAATAAAAATAAACATACTTACACCAATTTTTTAGAAACAAAAACAAACAAAAACAAACCCCAAATAATTTTACTGTGCATCCCAATACTTTATAATCACCTATCCCTTTACAGACAGTATAATATCTCCTCCCAAAATTACTTTTCTTCATCCCTATATCTTTTTATAAGCATGTTTCTATACAACTTTTTGAACTGATTTAGCTCCTGCTCCAAACCATTCCAAACCATTAGATTAAACACTAAACAGCACTAAACTACATTAAGTATCTCAATAAGGTGTTGGGTCACCATGTGCCACCAGAACAGCTTCAGTGCTCCTCGACACTGATTCCACAAGTCTCTGAGCTCTACTGGAGAAATGAGCATCATTCCTTAAATACATATTTTCTTATTCAACGTTTTGATTGTCTAACATGTCGGTCCAAAATCTCTCATAGGTGTTTAGCTGGTCTGAGGTCTGGTGAATGTGAAGGCCGTAGCAAACCATTCAGAGGCCCGTCATGGCCTACTGATGGGGGCATTGTCATTGGAGACGAGACCACTTCCATCTCAATAGAAATAATAACAATAAACTGTATTTCTGTAGCACCTTCCCGAACTATAGTGCAAGGTGCTTTATAAGAATGAGCAACGATATAACATAAAAAGTGTAAAGTGTTACACAACTGTCTGACCATACAGGTGGCTTTTCAAGAACTTTTCAGGCTGATGGAGGTGTTCTGACAGTAAGGCTCAGCAGAATTGTTCCTCTTTGTTTGGTGTACATGCAGAATAAGAGGGCAAGAAATATAGAGCCAGACCACGCAGAGATTTAAAAGAAATCAACATAACGTAGAATTGAATCGTATTGCGTAACTAATGGGGAGCTGGTGTGATTCAACCACGACTGGAATAACGTGTTTCCTGCGTTGAGTGTTGGTGAGTAATCTTACTGCTTTGTTTTAAGGCAACTGTAGACGGGCAATCACTGCAGTGTTTACACAAGTGAGTGTATGTTTCATTATGGGATAAAGGTGACCACTGAGAACAGCTTTGTATTGACTTGCATTGATCCTTCCCTCTGAGGGGACAAGTGGACACAATCCATGCCAACGACATCCCCCTCCAGCATAACAGAGCCACCAGATCTGTCAGTGTAGGGGTCAAAGGTTCAGGTTTTAATATGCTGCCCATCTGAATATACAGGTTGTAATGAAGGCATGTAAAGGATTTATATTCTTACCTTTAGGCCATGTGACCCCAACCTTTGTGGTATTTCTATGCCTACATCTTCTGTTGTCATTTGCTCGGCTACACTGTAAATCTACCTCTATTTATCATTATTAAATGATAACATCTACTGTAGTCTGCTCCTCAGCGTTTCCCTGTTTAAACAGTTATTGACAATTCTAGTATAAACAGTTATTGGACATTAAAAATTCAATAAAAATGACTGTTAAATCATTAATGATTAAATCATCTGACTGTGTAATGGGCTGCCAAAGACATCTCACAAATTAAACTTTCACAAGCACAGATTCAGTCACATCAAGTTACATTTAAAGCAACAGCTGATGCAGCAACGTGTTTTCCTGTAGAAAAATAATACTGGGGTTATGAATTAACCTGGAAAGTTCAAATATTTAGGTCCAAACCCTGTGAGAGCTGGTCTGTTTATTAGGCCTCGTGAGGCTTCTAACTCAGTGTTTCTCTAAGTTTTAATAAAAGCTTTCCCTTCCCGTTTCCACATGCTGTAAAAATAAAGTTAGCCTGGCTTGACATATCTACACTGTTCCCCATAAAGTCGGAATAAAATGTTATTTATCTCTTCTCATGGAATGACTGTGACAATGTGATTTATTCTTGATTGATAAAGTGTTTCGCTTCTCAAAACTATATTGATTTCACAATATACATACAATACATATCACAGTAAAAATTAAACTGTGTATTCAGATTTACACTAAACTGGGGATTGGGGTAGTGAACAATAGGATTAAGGGTTTTATTTCAATTTTTGATTCTTGGTTCCTTTAACAGGAAACACATATTCAAGGGGATTTCATGCATAAGAATGTCCACTATTACGCTTTCAAATATATTGAGCCTGGCCAACCCTGACACAGATCAATGCGTTAAAACATTGTGGCATACTGTCCACCAGCTTGTTGATGGTGTCAATGGGCAGGACGTCCCACTCGTCAGTAAGATCCCAAAGTCAGAATTAGCTTCACCTGAGTCACTGGGACTCAGTATCTAACCATTGCACCTGGTCAGAAGTGATGACGGATGTGTATAAATAGTGTCTGATAACAAAAATTATTCTAACTTTATGGGCGATGGTGTATTTTTTACCTGGTTTTTGTTGTGTGTTTGGGATCTTATTTGCTTGAATTTTCTTTATGATTTTTGTTATTTGTCTAATTTGATATTTGTTGTACTATAAAGCACTTTGTAGCTTTGTTTTCGAAAGGAACTACACAAAAACAGTTATGGTTATGATTATATGATGATGATGATGAATAACAATTCATGTCATGATTTTCACTAAATTTGAATTTATTACTTTTGTCAATTTCAACTTATTGCAGTGACAGCTGTTTTTTCCTTCTTTAATGGGAGGGTATGAATGCATTTGAGGATGACTGTATATGATGATGATGATGATGATGATGATGATGATGAGTATTATCTATCTATCTATCTATCTATCTATCTATCTATCTATCTATCTATCTATCTATCTATGCTGCGGCCCCTTTAAGAGCCTCCTGGGTGTGGAAAATGGGAAGTTTTTTGTGAAGCTTTAGCCAGTTGGATCCGTCCCATTGCGCTTTGTCTCCCGCTCTTAGGTCTGAAATATGATAGAATTCAATATAATGTACATAACTATATATTTAAAATTTACGGACTAACTCATGTTTAGTAGTTCTAAGAGCGTGTTGTTGACTTTAAGCACTAACGGGTGATTTTAAGCCGCCTGAAGAACAGAAAAGAGGGCTGGTGAGTGTGAACCGTCTCGGAATGGGACGCGTCCACAGGGACTCTAGCCGCTCTCCTAATCACGACACCGTAACGAGGAAAAAGTGGCAAAGAGGAGCAGGATACAATTAAGATTACAGCGTAAACAGAGCTTCTGACGAGGGGAAAGAGGGACGCGGACCCGCACCGAGCAACCTCCGGCGGCTTAGACGTCGCTCCGTATCCGAGCGGCTGCAGGCTCCCCCGGACACCATGGTTTGTGCTGCTCTCAACAGATGACTCGCCTCAACGGAGCAGAAATGAGCCGCGGACGAGCGTAGGCAGCGTGTCTCTAAAACAAGCCCATTGTTCGCGCTGAGTCGAACCGAGCCGCCCGTTAGAAGATGGGGCATCCTACTCTGGAGTTCAGCGACTGCTATCTGGACAGTCCCGACTTCAGGGAGACCCTCAAGTGTTACGAGCTGGAGCTGGACAGGACGAGCAAATTTCTCAAGGAGTTGATAAAAGATGGCAACAGTGTGATCACTGCAATCAAGGGTGAGCATGCTTACAAGTTTACGGTTGTGCATGTGATGTAGTGATGACAGCAGCAGCATCAGTGGGGCCTTTCTGGAGGGCCTGCAGGGTCACTGTGGGTGGGAGGCATATTCAGGGAGGTGCTAGTGCTCCCCCCCCCTCCACCCCTCCACCTCTCTGCTTTGAAAGAACATGGATCTGATGCAGATGTGCAGGATGATCAATGCTGTTTGTCCCTCTGCAGCAGGACTCACATCTCCCCATGTGTCCACTCAGTCCCACTGACAGCGACAGCTCACTGCACTGGAGAAGTGTTTTCAGATTTGGGTCACCCATGAGGGGCGAACACTGTCTGTTTTGTGCGATTCCCTGTTAAGATACCCATTCTGCTGTGGAAATCCTGAATGACCAAGCTTTTCACCTCGGAAACAGTGGAGCTGTGAGGGTCCTATAGTCAGGACGCATAATAGTCAGAGGTCACGAGTGCTTGTTGCTGGAATAAACCGCACCACTTCACCAAAGTCCCATTTTTATGTCAATCTGGGATGATCAGGATTTACGACTCGTGTACTCCAATTCTGGTTTTCTCATGCTGTGAATGTTGGGAAGTTTGCTTTCTTTGCAGCTGAAGCGGGGATCCAAAGTAAAAGAAAATAAAATAACAAAAAAGCTCAATTGGTAAATGGAAAACCCACAAATGAGTGCAAACTGTTCCATTACAAAAAGAGGGATTTAGAATATGAGACCAGATGCGCCAGCCAAGCTCCTCAGACCAAATGCTCTACAGTATTGATCTGACAGACTTGGATTTGTTTTGTTAATAAAAGCCAGACATAGCAGGGATAATATATGGCATCAACCACATGCTGGCTGCTGCTCTGCTGCTAAATCCTGCCAGGGATGTCTTTCATACTTGACACTTTCCTACCAGGGAAAAAAAAAAAGCACAGCTAGAATAATCCTGCACTAAATTCATGTGAGCTGGGATGAATTTGAAGAACGGAGGATAAATCTGCACACAGTGCTTGATTCAGAAAACTTTAAAAGATTAAATCTTGTTTTCCAGGATATTCTGTGGCTGTGCAGAAGTTTTCCCAGACTCTCGGTATGTTCCAGTTTGATTTCATCGGCGATTCCCTGACAGATGATGAGATCAACATCGGTAAGAAAACACAAAAACACTGCTACTATTAAACCCATTATGGTGCATTGACTCTGAGAGAACTTGCACATCATTTCAAGCTGACAGAGTAAAGGAGGGCCGAGAAATGCCTAGAAGTTGTTGTTATAAAGCTGGAGTTTTTTTAGATTAGCGTTTACGAAAAGACTTGCTCTACTTGACCTCGGCTCAGAGAAACATTTTTGGCAGCCGACCGGTAATTCCTCACGACTTGAGTGTGAGGAATCAGGAAACAAAAAGATTTGGAAAAACCCAAACGCTTGTCTTAGAGCTTAATGGCGAACGTGTTGTGATGATTGCTCATAAAATCTTGTGCACGTAAAGGCCGGGGCAAGGGTGCTGTGTCCTTTATTGTTTTCGTTTTTAATCCTTCCAGAAGCATTTCCTGCGTCACACAGTTCAGATAACAACATGCAAAGTCTTCATTCCGGTCATCATCTCTTGTGTTTTCATCCTCAGCTCAGTCGTTCCAGGAGTTTGCCGGCCTCCTGCAGGAAGTGGAGCACGACAGGATGATGCTGGTGGGTTATCAGCTTCCTCCACGTTGGATCTGCATCCGATTGAAACCTCGTTAGACATCAGAACCACTTAATATATCCTGCACTGAGGATAAGACAGTTTGGAAGGAAACTTCTGATGAATTTTCTGTTTATTATGAGTCTGTGTGTGTGTTGAATGAAATATTATTAGTTTTGACATGATACATCCGCACAAACACACACAGGTGCTGATTGTGTAAATGTGTGCCCTCGTGCAGAGCTGTTAGTAGCAATGCTTGTAATTATTTGGTATCACTTCCCCTCTTTGGTTTCTTGTTCCCGTTTTTTAGTAATGCTTCCATATTGCCCACATGCTGCCACATTTCAGTGCAGTCTTTATCACCGAGGCCGCTGTTACTTAACACACTTTACCACGTTGTCAATAAACAAAACAGAGTTTCCTACCAGCGGCAGATCCTCCGGCATCACACTTCATCAGTGAAGCATTTCCAGTTAGACTGGGTTTTCTGGAATCCTGATGCTATTTGCAAACAGCAGGTCATGTGAAGGCATCGTGTATGAAAACCTCACGCTCATGATATTTATTTTTCAGTTCATCCTTTTAGAGCTTCAATGTAGTAGACTGCATATATATATGTGTGTGTTTTTGGTAACGCTGAACTAACAGCTGCTCCGTGTTTCCCCGTCCAGGTTCAGAATGCATCCGATCTGCTCATCAAGCCCCTGGAGAAGTTCAGAAAGGAGCAAATAGGAGTAACAAAAGTGAGTGCTTTTACTGATTCCTCTTCTCTGTAGGTCAAATGTGCTTCACTCCTGTGAAGAAAACTAGCACACCTCTACTTCAGCAAGTCCATAATTCTACCCTTTTCTCTGCATGAAGGTTCAAGTAGCTACAAATATGTGAGCTATCTGAGCTACTTACACAGACAGGCAGGGTGTTATAATCGACTTCCTCAAATCTGTGTGTCAGTGTGTGTATGCAACAGCAATATGTGGCTCTTCCTTCTCTCTGACAGAACAATGAATGTGTAAAGACTTCTTGTCTTGGCAAAGGATGCTGGGGGGTTGAGAACAGCTCAGGGTTTTCTACGGTGATGCTTTCAAAGTCATCAGGAAACTGTGGGAAAACACCTAAGATATAAGAGATGGGGGAAATATGTTAATTAACCTTTTTTTTGGTAAATCTTTTTGCAGTGTTTTATATTTTATTTTTTGTATGCAAAATATCAAATGCTACATTAAATATCCAGGTCCTAGATTCATTTATGTTAAAACATGAGTCCACAACAGTAATCAGTAAGCAGTCAGTCCAGTTTGCATTCTGCAGCTGCAGAGCATACTGAAAGTAAAAAATACAAATGATGCCATTTAGAATATCTTTAAAAACACTTATCATGTAAAACTTTTTGTTTTTAATGCATCCAAGAAGTAAATGTTACAAAACACAATGCAGTTAATTCAGATATTATCAATCCATCAGTATTTTTGGCCTTTTTTCACAAATAACTAGTTATTCACGTACTGCTTAATGACTTCAGGGTTCAGAAATGAAAACGTATCGTGTGCTAAAGGTTCATAAAGAGAGAAACAGTGAAAGAGAAACAGTGAAAGTGTTCAAAATCGATGTTATTAAACTGTTGTGATGTTTGTTTTGTCAGGTTCCACTTGAATCAGCAAAAAGCGAGCATTTCAGCCATTAGTCCATCTCTGTTATTCTGTACTGTTGAGTATGTTTTTACTTGGACCTAACTAATTAAACTATTTATCAGCTCACCATTTATTTTTAGCTGTCTGCTAAAAAATGTTTTAATATTTTAGGTGTTTATTCATTACTTCAAGCAGTCTGTTCAAACATTTCTTAATTATTGGTAACAGTTAGTTTTAGCTGACTACTATTAGCTAAGACTAACCGTTTATCCATTAAAGAAGACTAATTTACAATATTTGTGCTGTCAAAAATGGTTTTCAGTCACCTTTTTCAACAAGTTATGTTAGCTGACCATTTGAACAGTTGCGTCATGCTTAGTTAATGATTTGAACTGTTTATTCATTATTTTTGGCATTTTTTTCCCCCCTTTCATGTGACATTTTTAGCGAGTTGCTTAGACATCCACAACTCGTCAGCTCTTCATGCTCCCTTTGCCACAGCACATGTTGTTACAGCTGGCACAGTATGTGGCCATACATACATATTTATATTTATATAAATTTAACTTTTAGTTTTTCAGCTGTACCCTTTTGGGTACAACTACCCCTAGTTAACCTCAGCTGGACATTTAAATCAGCCTTAAAATAGTAGCTAACTAACTTATTACAGATGATTGGTGTCAGCTATATGCACATGTGCAAACAAACCTGTAAACGGTAATTTTTTGTCATTTGGGGTACAAAAAATACTGCAAATAACAGAAAACAAGAATAATGACAGTAATAAAAACACAGTAATTTTCTGTCATTAAAACACATTTTCAAGCCTTAATTTTACGTGCGATAATGCATATTTTTTGGGCTTCTGAAGGTTACTTACATGTGTAAAAATTAAATTACTTATCTAGATATTCACCTCATATTAAGTACAAACAAAGAAGTCTATGTAAAATAACAAAAGCAATACTTATTGTTCAATTAATTGTCATTCATTTCAGTAAAATATTTACAATATCAAACTTGAACGCAAATGTTTCATCAGTTAAATAAGAGAAAATAATTGTGAAATTGCTATAAATGCATTTTAACAGTCTTATAGAATAACATTTTATTGTTGTTTATGGTTTGAGATTTTTAATGCTTGACTTTAGCAATGTAGCTTCACAGTTACTGACATTTTAGTGCAATGCAGAAAAAGATTAGAACATAAAAAGAAAAAGTTCTGTGAAATTACAGATTTTTTCTTTACAGTCTTGGTTGGAAATATCAGCACAGAAATGACAAAAATATGCAGATGATATGAATGATTTGGAAAATTGTGTAATTTATTGACCAGACATCTCTGAAATCTTTTTCCCAGAGTTTAGTCTAACCAGCTCACTTCTCTAAGGAGTCCTGGTCCAGTTTTAGTTTTTGTCCCACAGTGACATGCATTGTTGAATGTTTTCAAGTCTCCAATATCGATATCAGCCTGAGAAATCTCGCATTGGCCGATAAAATATACTTGAAATGACAGTCTTGATAGTATCAGCTTGTGAGAGCAGCACATGTTTAGCAGGTGAAGACGTGGTTAAAGTGTCCTGCCATTTGTCCTCCAGCCAGGCTGTAACTCAGTTTGTCCAATCTTATCTCGATCTCCCCTCCTCACTATCACCACACGTGTTCTGCAGGAAAAGAAGAAGAAGTTCGAGAAAGAGAGTGAAAAATATTACTCCCAGTTAGACAAACACTTGAATCTTTCTGCTAAGAAGAAAGAGACTCAACTTCAAGAGGTACAGTGAAGTTTAACAAGCATTTTGCATCAGTTGTGCAGTGAAATGTAGAGCTGGGAGCATCAGTGTTTTATAATTACCTCTTTTTAACAAAAATTGTAGGCTGATGAACTCGTGGAGAAAGAGCGGGTGAACTTCTATGAATCGTCCGTGGAGTACGTGTACCAGATCCATCAGGTGCAGGACAGGAAGAAGTTTGATGTGGTGGAGCCGGTGAGCGCTATGCTGCAACACGCATATAACCAAGGACTGAGCACAAACATAGTGCACGTGGTGAAAAAACAAATTCATAGCTTTGTGGTTCTTCTGCTTTGCTCCGACTGGACAGGTGCTGGCATTTCTTCACAGCGTTTTAACGCTCAACAACCTGACAGTGGAGATGACTCAGGACTTCATGCCTTACAAGCAGGAACTGCAGCTCAGCTTGCAGAACGTAAGTGGCGTTAGTGGTAACAAATCATATCATTAGAGGGATTTAGCCCTTTGTCTGATGCTTTCTGGTTTCCCCTGCAGACAAGAAACCACTATGAGAGCACTTGCGAAGAGTTGGAGGAGCTCATGAAAAGAATGAAGCACCCGTCCCAGGTGTACAAAATGCACAGTTTCCTGCCCATGGAGGGTTATCTGTACTGCCAAGAGAAGTGTGAGTGCGTCACATGCTTACACAAAAGCTCAGTGCTTTTACAGGATTCCCTCTGTTGCCAATTCTGACAAGCAACGTCTCGTTTTGTTTTCTCCCTCCAGGGGCTCTGGGTGTGTCGTGGGTCAAATATTACTGTAGGTATCACAAGGAAGGAAGGCGGCTGGTCATGGTACCTTGTGAACAGAAGCCTACGACTAAACAGGTGCTCCACTGAAAATAAACATGGTATTGAAAGCACACCACAAGACTAATGTGTGCCTTTGATACGCGTTATCTGTGCTTTATATCCTCAGACTGCCCTTTTGCTCCATTGCACTTGAACTGAACACTGTCCAACTTTCTCGCCTTCCCTGCAGGGCCCGACGCAGCTGACACTGAAATCCTGCATCCGCCGGAAGACCGACTCCATAGACAAACGCTTTTGCTTTGACGTGGAAACCAACGAGAGGTTAGCGCAAAACACAAATCTGAAAAAAAAAACAAACTGTGAGATGAGGCAACACGAAAGCCTTGTGGGATAAACAGGTCCGGGCGGCGAGGTGAACAGGTGGTTTACAAGGACAGAGCGTGAAGGCTAAATGGACTGTAGCCCAAACAATCCCTAAGCAGTGGGGCTGGTGCTGGAAACAGATGGCAAACTCAGTGCTTTCAGGGGAAGGAACACAACAAGCTCATATTTATATAAGCAGGCCATTCAGAACAAAATGCATTTTAATATTCTCTTGAGCCACGAGCTGCTCCGTCACCTAACGGGGGTTTGTCTCTTGAAATCTGCAGGAAATACTCGAGCGCGTTAAAGGTTTAAAAGCGGCTTGAATTATGCATTTGGAGCTAAACCGTGTCTCTGACTGCTGAGAAACTAATTTGTGAGCTGAACATAATGAGGAGGCGCTATTTGATAAACTCAAGGTGGCAGTGCTGTCTAATGTAGAAGGCAGTGCTGTGAGCTCAAGATGTTTTGAGGCAAAGAAAAGCCTGAACTTGCCTCTAATGCTCCTGGTGCTTGTCCCTGAGCTTGACCTTTGACCTTAGAGGAAGTGAATGAACACTGATTGCTGCTCCACCTACTGCTCTGCCTGATCATTTGTTGCCAACATTAGTTTCAGCTCAGTTTGCATGATGCAGATTGCTGTTTAATTAGCTGTTTTTAGGTGGATTGGGTTTACTGACCTGCACCAGCTTCAAAGGAAATTAGCGAAAGATTTAAATCACTGCCACAGAAACACATTGTGCATGCCGAAAATAAGATGTCAGAGTGATTTCACTATGAAAGGTAAAGTAATTTTATAAGAGGGTTTTTAATTAGTTACTTGATTAATGCAGTTTAAATTCACTGCACAGTTGTTTCAGTTAACTATTAATTCAGCTGCCTGCAAGCTGTAAAATCTGGCACTTGATTATGTTGTTTGTGCAGGAGACAGATTGCAACAATAGATTTTCATCATCTCTTCATGCTCGTCTTATGTCTCGATTTCCTACAACCCTTGCCACATGGGATTCAGTCAGTTACTTCAAAGAACGCTTCTTCCGGTGGCGTTCTTGTTATTCTGTCCACCCTGCTTTGCTCGAAAAGTGTGTACGAGCTGTGACGCGCAAGAGCTTAAGAAAAAAAAAGAAAAAGAAAAAGCTGCAGCTCACAGTGGTTGGGTGCTGTGAGAGTGCATCCTTTTAACAGAGTAATTAAATTACAACCTTTGCCTCTTTAATGGCATTTGTTACTGTTTCCATAGAAACACACCCGTCACTTTCCAGGCTCTTTCGGAGGGAGACCGGAAGTCGTGGATGGAGGCCATGGACGGAAAGGAGCCTGTGAGTTTGTTTCTCCTCTCGTTTGGGATTTTCTTTTTTCGCATCCTGCTGAAACTGCTTTACCGCCAGACGGTCTACGGCTTCACACAATGGAGTCGGCTCGGCCGCCGTACAGTTCACAGGGTCAATCCAAGCAGATTTTTTTTACAGTAAAATCTTCCTAAATGTTGACAGATAGTTAAATCTGTTTTTGTCATTTGCAGCTTCTCAATTGGATCACAGCCAAGTGTAAAGTCAAAGTCAATTTGTTGAACCCTGAAGAGAAAAACAGGAAGAAAACAGAGAAAAATTCTTCGATATAATTAATTTTTTTTAATCTAATATGTCAGACATGTGATGGCTCAGTTGTTGATCGCGGCCGGGTGTGGTCATGGCTATTCTCATTTTGGTTTCTTTATTGAGGATGTGTGAGGTATTCTATGAATCCTGTTGGTTAAGTCATCAGTGCACCCAGTTAGTTAGAAGCACGACTGAATTTGTACTGTTTGAGTTTTTTTTTTTAAATCTCACATTCATGTTTAGGTGTTCATGGGGCCCTCCCTGCAGAAACTGCCAACTTCTCTTTACCCGGCAGCTTTGAGGCGATCAAACACGAATGTGCCTCACAAGCAAAATGTAAAACATCGCTAATTCCTCGTTTGCGTGTAGCTGTCAACGCTGTTTAGCTTTCAGTTTTGCTCTCGCTCTTGGCAGTTCTTGTCAGATCTGGTTCTCATTAGACGAATTGTTGGTGGAGGTTGCGGACAAAACAAACAAACAAACCGTATCTGCAGGAGGATGTGAAAATGACAGAATGCACAGTTCTCAGGGCCTACTTCCTGTTCAACTTCCCCAATAACTTCTGTATATTGTCGACGTTGCTCAAGAGGTTTTCCCCCAATATTCTGAAGCGGAGATCCAGTGAAGTGCAGAGTGTCTGAGCTCGGGCCACACCCTCTCTGTCAGCCTCACGGCCCTCTGAATGTCTTTTGTGTCGCTGAAATTTACGGCACAGCCCTGCTTCGATCTTTTAATGATGTCATTTACACACTTCATGCAGGCCACACATGGAGCTGGTTTTAACCTGTTCTGTGCTTTGCTCTTCTATCTTCTTACTGCTAATCTGATAATTGTCACTTTGTTAAGCATAAAGCCAAACATTTACTGGTTTAAACTTCTCAAATGTGACAATTTGCTGGAGTTCTTTGTCATAAATGGTAGTTAATTGAATATTGTGGGGAGTTTTAGACCTGCAAATGTGATAATGTAATTTCTGATAGGGCAGCAATGAACAATTATTTTCATTTTTGATAAATTAGTTGATTATTTTCTGGATTAATAAATTTGTCGCTTGGTCTGTAAAATGCCAGAAAATGAAATGAATGAAATATCAATCAGTGTGTCCAAAAGCCCAAGACGACAACCTTGAATGTCTTGTTTTGTCCACAACCCAAAGATTTTCAGTTTATTGTCATGGAGGAGTAACGAAACAAGAAAATGTTTTAGTTTAAGAAGATGGAAACAAATAATCTTGACTTGTTATTTTTCTAAAAAAGGATCAAATAATTATCAGAATAGTTGGCGAGCATTTTAATAGTTGATAATTAATTGATTAATCATTGCACCTCTAATTTCAGATTTGCATTTTTCAAAATTTCGGGCAGTTTTTATTCACTTCTGACAAACTAGCGAAGGGCTAAACAGCACATCGTAGAAAGTGGTCAAACACGTCACGTTCCAACTTCTTTTCTGCTTGTCCAATCTAAAGGAGAAGCGTGTGTGATATAAATTACCCTGATTTAATGGTTTGATTAAAAAACAAACAAAAAAAAAAAATAATTAAAAGATAGTTTGTTGATGATATTGCAGACTCCACATGTGCACAGCGCAATGAACAAGGAACAAAAGAAAAACACTGAAAAGGAAGATTTAGTTGCACAAAGAAACACAATGTCAGTTGCATGGAAATATTTCAGCAACCGAAAGAAAAAAAACACAAACCAGGTCCATTGTGTGCAGAGTCTCGCCAGCACACGAGGCACCGCAGCTAATTTGTTTGACCATTTCAGTCAGCACCATGAAGCTCTGCATGACGAGTGCAAAGCCAAATTTGAATATCATCCAAACCAAAAAAAAACAAATGTTGCTTCAGATTGCTTTGCCACTTTTACACCACATGACAAAAGTTCAAAACTTTCCTTTTTCCAGCTATTTAAGTTGAATTCTTCTTTCTGACAAAGATGAACTTCTCTCCCAGTCGTTCTACACTAATGAGGTCTTTCCAAAATTAACTCATCTAGTGAGAATTCCCGTATTTATCGGAGAAAAACTAATTTTTGCGATGTCAGTTTACAATATTTAACTTCAACTAGTTCAGTAAATTAGCTTCCAGATAATCAGTGCCAAACATAATGGTTTGTTGCAGCTCCAATGTTTTGGCAAAAATTCCTTCGATCTTGTGATTCTCGTAAAAAAACTTCCCCAGCAGCTCCTGATGCAAAACCAGGCCGACGCTGTCCATTACAGTTTCATGTTTAAAGTCTGTTTTGGCAAAGTTAGTCTCATACAAATCCAAAAAGTTGACATGATTGAGCTCATGTGCCAAAATAACACGTATAATTCAACTCTTAGCACACATTCAGTCTTTTTATAACTCGTCTGCAGTAAAAGAAGAATGCCTGCATGGACTCTCCAAAGTCTCCAAAGCAACTGGACGTTTTGACAATTTTCGTGTTAGCCACAGAAATTAAAGTATTTTTCCATCATTCAAATCTTGGGTGGGAAAAAAGCTCCGTTGTAACTGTTTGTAATGTCGCTCTCTGACAGCTCCATTATGTTTTCATCCATATGTCAGATTTGTGAGTTCTGAAGCATAATGCTCAGCCACTGTGCAATTCTGTTTTTTAAAATAGCGAAATAGCTCCATGAAGATGCCTTTGCAGAACACACATTACGTGTAAGAATCAGCTCATTCACGTAGCTATGACCGATAATTGAGTGGAAGTTCTTTCTTTCTCAGATCTAAATCAATAACAGGCTGTGACCGTGATATTTCGCACTTCAGCCGCCTTTCACAACAAACGCTAGTCCCACGTAAGAGCCCTTGAACAAGACTCTCGTGTCTCCAGCTGCTCTGTGGCTGCTCTGACCTCTGATGTCCATTAGAGGGGACGGCAGCGAGCTATTTTAGGTGGACAATTGGACAAAGCTTTGATATAAAAATCACATCTGACAGTGACTAGCTGGTGTCTGAGTTTCTGGCGACTCTAAAGTCACGGAGCCCGATCTGCTCCGAGATGAAACCCACGTTTATTCCCCTCTCTGTTCATTATTGTTATTTTTCTGTAATTTCATTTTATAATAGACGTGTTCATTCATCACGCTGTGCTAGATTTTTCCGCAGTCTCTTCACTTTCTTTTTACATCTTTTTTTTTTTTTTTCATTTCAGATTTATCATTCCCCAATTCACAAGCAAGCTGAAAGTAAGTCATTATCCTGAAAGTGTGCCGCTGTGTTGATGTTGACAGTGATGTCCTGCTGCTGTACATCTCATGCCGCTGACGTCTTCTGTATTCACGTTTTAACAAGGAGAAGTTTGGCCTTAAACCGAGTTTTTTCTGTTAAATGTGCTTTTTTTTTTCTTCCGCAGTGGAACTGAATGAAATTGGATTCAAGTTTGTGCGAAAGTGCATCAACTACATTGAAACAAAAGGTAACTGGGCCTAGTTCATCCCAGCTCATTACTTCTGTTAGTTTTCAGACTTGCCCTTCAGGGGGCATAGTTGAGACATGTGCAACATGTTGATGCCAGTCCTGCTGGAGAAATGTCCTTCATTACAAAACCAGTGGCACAGTAGGTTTCAGATTGTAACACATTTTTTTCTTGTCATGAATCTATACCTTGCGTCTGATATTTGACTCTCACTTCTTCTCTCCTTACGAGCACTCAGTACCTCCACATGTAACCTTAACAATCAGATTTTTGCAGTCGCAATAAGTTCCTCCACTGTCATGATTCATTCTGCAGCAATGGAATTAAGTAGTCAAGCCATCGGCATGTAATTTGACTCTGAAGTCTCACGAACTATGTAGTTAAATGAAGGAAAGAACATCTGTATCTTAATTCTGCCTCGTGTCGAAGCATGTGGTACATTTCCACTGCTCTGTATTTGTCCAGATTACACTCCCCCCCTTTTTTTTTCTTCTTCTTTTTTTTCCTCTTACCTCCCCCTCGTCTCTCTCCAGGAGCCACACAAGAAGGAGTGTACAGAACAGTTGGCAGCAACATCCAAGTGCAGAAGCTACTAAATGCCTTCTTTGGTAAGAAAGTAAGCTGGTGAATATGCGCAACATCTGTCCATTCACTCAGTTTCCCTCAGTCGAGTTTGTTAGCCTGACTGTACAACGTAACGAGCTGTGCGACTTTTTTGTGGAACTTAGGTGGAAATATGAAGGGGAAACATCAGCAGGTCTCTGGCTCCCAGCCTCCCTCTCTGGAGGTTATGATGAGGAGTCATTTGTAGCGGAAAACCAACAGAGAATTCACATCCAGCTCTGCTTCTCCGTTGAGCTGCACTGAGCTTTATGTCATGGTTTTGATTGTCCAGTCTGCAACTTTCTGGTTTTGATCTACTCTCATAGCATTGTGTTTGGTCATAGCGACCGCCGGTGGCCAAAAACACCAAATGGCAGACAGTCCAGGTTAGAGGCCAGCTGGTAAACATGCAGTCATGGAGAGTTTAGCTTGCTGAAGACATTTCCCCAGGAGTTAGTGGAGAGGTGGCCAGAGACGTAACTCCAGATGAATGTTGCTTTGTATTTGTTGGATGTAAACAAGCAACAAGTTCGCCAAATCGACTCAAAGGCAGAGCTGAACGGTTAATCGAAATATTATCGAAATTGCAGTATGTAGACAAATCACAGGAGCTGCAATTTTTGGACGAAGATAAAATGTTTATATGAAGCTTAGTGATGTGACGCCTACATATTATATTCTCCAGATGAACAATTTAGTAAATTGACGCCTCCAGCTGTGTCTAGGAGTCTTTCTTCTTAGTTTATTAAACACCTGCCGCATCAGACAGCAACAAGATCTGAATGAGCATCTCCAAAGAGACGAAACGTCATTAAGTAGTTGTAATTATATATTATCCCTTATATGGAGACAGGATCTGTCAGGATGTAACAGTAAACAACACGACTTTATTTCACTTCAGTTACCGCTTATCATCTGCAGTAAAGTCATGTTACACAGTTGAATTCAGAGTGGAAAACAATTTATAGCCGAAGTATTTTTCTGTCAAGTTTTCTTTTAGAGTAACCGACAGCATGTGGCAACAGGTGGCTGAGTAACAATGGGAACACATTCTGTTGTAAGAGAAGTTGCTGTAGTTCGGTAAAAAGCAGCTGGACTTCTCTTCTAGGTTCTTCAAAAGCCTAAATGAGAAGTCCAGCTGCTTTTTTTTTAACGGAAGCTTCTACGACTACCACGAGCTGGATAACAGAGAATCTACACAGACGTAGTTCGGTAACAAATGGTATAGTGTTAAAATCACAATCAGGAACATTAACTCTTGGATTGAGAAGAAATGCAACACTTCCTATTTCTACTAAATTGATATCACAATATGATGTTTGCTTTTCCTGCACATTGTTCAGTCCTACTTAAAATCTGATAAATGTTACAGCGAGCGGTGTTTTTAATGAATCTCTTTGTTCTCTCATAGATCCTACAAACCCAGGAGATGTGGATCTCCACAGCAGCGACTGGGATGTTAAAACCATCACAAGTGCATTAAAGTTTTATCTCAGGTGTGTTTGTGTGTGAATGGAAATGTCGGTTTGCCTTTAAGAGGTATTGAATTACATCGTAGTATCGTTTTTTTGTTGAATACATTTTAATTTGTCCTTAATCTGACGCTTTTAAAATGTTGCTAAATCTACTCTTGTGCAAAACCCCTGACGTCCCAGTGATTTACTTATTTTCCAGAGTCTGCTTCATTGTACAACTAGTGTCGATGTGGATCTGCACATTTGTAACAACGCAGCCTTGACACTCATTACTTCATGGTGTAACTGCTGCTTTTTGGTTTGCGTGAAGCAGGATATAATAAGTTATGTTGCACTTGTGTTTACTTGTGTGTCTTTATTTATCCACAGGAGTCTGTCTGAACCTCTGATGACCTACGGTTTGCACAGAGACCTCATGTGTGCTGCAAGTAAGACACGCTTTGGAAATTATCCAGCGCTAAGATCGGGGAGGTTGTGTTACATTTTGTGTGTCCTCATTAAATTCTTCTCTTGGATCTCGGCCTACCAATGAAACTTGTTCTGAGTCAACATAGTAGAATCCAATTGGTGTTTCTCTGAAAAGGTAAAGGTGTGCCGCTACATCCGCTTGTAGTATTTAGATGCACCAGGCAGCTTTTGCACTTGTCTTGACCTGTTAGCACACAGTATTGAAACCTCTTAGTTTTATTGCTGTGTGTGAATTTCACGTTTTTTTTTTCTTTCTTTCTGATAATTTATTCAGTAGCTATAAACTTGCCGTGCGTATTGGCTTACATCCACTTTGACATGATTATGCATTGCCTGAAAACATGTGGATTCAAGGCATGAGAGAGTACTTGAGTGCTGTGCAGGCTGCAGGTTCAGCAGCCTGCCAGGCAGCCGTTCATCACTGAGGACTATAAAGGAAATCTGAGTCCCCTGTTTGTTTTTGTCTGTCACACAACATTACTGTAAAACTGAGAAGACAATGAGTTTAATAGCATCAGCCTCATTCTGTCAGGATGTTGCATTAAGGCAGCTGGTGGCTTCATTTTATTGGAAATGCCATTCATTAGTTGAATAGGGGGCTCCTCATTATACAGGCTGACTGCTTGTAGACTTTCTTTTATTAGTTTCATGCCGTTGCACGGGGTGGCTGCACCGCGTTTCATATTCTCTTGTGATTATATACACCAATCCACCATAAGATTAAAACCACCAGCATAGTACTGCGTAGGCCCCAAAACAGCTCTGACCTTTCAAGGCTCTGAGATCTGTGGAAGTTAAGACCTTGGACTCTTTGCTGTGGTTCATTGCTCCTTGGTCCGGGTCCATACGCAGCAAGCTTTGATACACTCTGTGTTCTTAAACCTTTCTATCATAGCTGGCATTAAGGTTTTCTGCAGGTTTGTTCCCTCTGTGAGAATCGGATTACACATGTCCGCTTATGCTCCATCTGATTCATCGGCTCTTCTTCCTTGGGTCACTGTTTGTAGGCAACATCTCACAAGACCTGCTGTTTTGGAGATGCTCTGACTCTGCCGTACAGCCATCACCATTTGCCGAAGTGTCTCAGATCCTTTCTCAGCCGTGTTTTCTCGCTTCAAACTCATCAACTTCAACAGCCGACTGATCACTTGCTGCTTAATATATCCCTGACAGGCGCCATTGTAACAAGATAATCGCTGTTATTCGCTTCACCCTGTTTAGTTTCATTGTGGTGGCTGATTGATGTGTAATTGTATAATTTCTGTTGTGCTCAACACAAAATCTTGAATGCTGAATTTTAAATTATACTGAGATGATGCCAAAGGAAACATGAAAACAGTAATTTCTTTATCAGTATCAAGGATATTTATTTTTAGCTTTCTTTCATTTATGGAGAACTTGGCATGATTAATGATTTGGGTCTAAACAGATAAAGTGTATGAGCCTTTTAATTACTTCAATTAATAGCTTTTTTTTTGTTCTCTTTGTATCACAGAGTCCGACAGTCTGGACTTTCGACTAAGCGAAATTCATTCTCTTACCTACAAACTTCCAGAGAAGAATCGGGAAATGCTGGAGATGCTTATTAAACACTTGGTCAAGTAAGTACTAATTTGTGAACTGTGGCGTAGTTCTTCCTGCTTCTAGAATCACGTCGCAGCCAAGCTGTTGAGCCAAATTACTTTCCAAATGGAAAAATAAGGTTGACGCAACAGGTTTAAATAGTAACACTGTGTAAGATATTAAATTTGTACAGTAGCGCTTCTTTCTCTGAGATAATGTGTCACTACTTCAAGTTACAGTTTAGTAAACCCAGCCTGGCATTTGTTGACAGTGTGTGCAGCCACAGTGAGGAAAACCTGATGACCCCGTCCAACATGGCAGTTATCTTTGGACCCACACTCATGAGAGCGAAGGAGGAGACGGTGGCGGCCATGTTGGACATCAAGTTCCAAAATATCGTGGTTGAGATTCTGATTGAGGACTCCAGAAAGGTACAGTTGGCATGGACAGAGTTACACATGAAGATTGTTACCCCCTACATATGGAAAATATGTAGTTAACTGTGGCACAATACTGACTGAAAGTTGTTAGTTTAATGAAGAATGGAAACCGGGCAAAAGTACCTCCCTGGCTCCCATAATGAAATCTACCTACCAGCACCTTTAAAAATCGCTAATGACCACGCTATGCCTCTTTTGTTTAATCCATACATAAAACATCAGCAGGTCGTCTGCCACACAGCTGGAGGCCGTGAAGACTCCAGGCTGTTACTGGTCCTGGCCAAGAAATACTCCCGTACATAATCCCCAGTAAAACGGCAAATAGACGTTTTAATGTTTCAGGTTTTATCCCAATTTAATTTAACAAGATTCAACACATTTAGATTGCAGATTACCTCCCTTCTTGCTGTACTGAGCAGCTTCTTGCTCAGTGCTTCTTAATGTGCTGCAGAGGCCTTTGCTTGTCATAAGTTAATCCATTAAGTCACTACTTATTTGTACTTGTTTGTGCTTTGTTAATACCATTCTACCAAAATACAATGATTTAGTTTATCAGTCTTTTCCCCTCTGTTTTTTTTTTTTTTTATCATGCAAATCAATCCATTATTTCAACTGCAGGCTGTACGTAGCTGGGAAAAGCAGCAACCGAACTAAAGTGTAACTTTTCGTTTTGTTAATGTGTTTGCAGATCTTCAGTTATATGCCAGAGGACAGCACTGCCCCACCTGTCCCTCCTCCGCGCATCACCCCGAGAAAGCGGCAACCCATCACAATCTCCAAGCGGCCAGCTCGTGTTTATCAAGCTCTTAGTCACGACCACTTCCAGCACACAGAGAGTAATTATCAGCCTCTCTTGCCCTGATTGTCGTCATCATCCTCACCATTATCCCGTCCTCTCTGTGCCAAGCATACAGTAGATTATTTAGAATGTTATTTGTAAAGAAAAAAAAGCAAGTTTTTTATTTTTGGGAAAGACTTGTACCACAGCGTACCTGCAGGGTCATTTCTTGACATTTCCAAAATGGGATTTATTGTAGTGTGTGTGTCAATCAAATCAATTATGACATATTCCCAAACATGGGATTTGTTTGTCAAATCAAATTCTATTATTTCTTTCTTTATTCTGTATCGTCCTTAAATGTTGGCCGAAAATCATTTGGTGCTTTTTAAAAAAATTCATTTCAAGTACAAATAAATGTATCTACTCTGCATTTTTATCTCACGTTAGTCTTTTTTTTTTCCCCCCAGCGCCTCAGGCAAAATCATGTAATTTCCTGTCTGTTTGAACCCCTTGTTAAGTGGGTGTGATTCCAACCTCTCGTAGACTGAGGCAGAGACGATTGGAGCACACACAGCTTGTCCTCAGTCTGATATTAAACTGTTCTTAACTTACTGCTTGGTATAGCCAAATAACCAGCTCTGTTTGCGTATCCAGAGCTTGAAGCACGGGTTGAGGAAAGTGATGTACCAGTAGTCGTATTACCAGTTTAATTTAACCCCCTAGCTCTTCTGTATCGTTCATGTTTGTATCTGGCAAACACGATAGGGGAGAACATTTACATTGAACTGACATGTGAAGTGACTGCACTGTTAATGGTGTTTCTCTGTAACAGATGGTCAGAATGAAACCTCCACTGTGGACGAGGACGTCTCAGTGAGCCCCGTTCCTCTGCAGCGATCAAAACCTGTAAGCTACGCTCCGCTTGTTCCACGAGAGCCTCCTCCGAGACAAGCGTTAATGCCCAGAGCAGCTAACCGTCAGGACAGACAGACGGACTCGGATGCTGGGAAGATTAACGACACAAGGCAAAGGCCAGATTCATCCCCGGCACCAAATGGGGAGTCTGGAGTCTATGTGAGCAGGGTGCCGTCGTTTCAGAGCCGAAAACCACCTCCAAAGAACACATCAGGTATTCCACTGAAAACTCCTTATCTCATGTTTGTTAACCTGCAAATAAAAAGCCTCATAGGTGAAGACAAAGAGATGTAGTGTACAGTACAATGATAAGCAAAGTTGTGATGTATGATTAGTCATCTGTAATTGACTCCTCAGTACCACAGTTTATTGTTAAACAAACAAAGCTATGAGGCTTGAGCATGTTATTTTTAAATTAAGTGTTACTAAGAAATGTGTTCTCTCAAACAAGAGACAGTAACACTAGAGATAAGTGCAAGCAGGTACAGCTGATGATGAAGAAAAGCAGTCAGATGTAAAGGGTTCACTGGTGGGTTAAATAAAGTGCGTAGATTCTAGCTATCAAATTATTATTGTGTGGATTTTCAAATATTGTAACATAAAGGTGCAGTATGCAAGATTTAGAACAGAAATATTGCGTTAATATTGCAGCAAACTGCTCTCTGCTATGTGGCGTCATAGTGGATTACTGGTGTCCTTATTAGAGAATCAGGGAACACTCCGTCTGTGAGTGCAAGTGAGTCCCTCCATTTGAAACCGGTGACCTTCCCTGCATTTAAACACAAAGTGACTGCATTGAAAAAGCAAAACTGCAGTCCTGTGTTCAGCCGGTGCTCCAAACCCAAAGGATTTAAAAATGTTATTTACTTAATTTAGGGCTGCAAGGTGATTCTGTGGTTAGCATCAATGCCTCACAGCTAGAAGGTTGCCGGTTCGCGTCCCGGTGAGAACACTCAGGATCTTTCTGCGTGGAGTTTGCATGTTCTCCCCGCGCAGCGTGGGTTCTCTCCAGGTTCTCCAGCTTCCTCCCACAGTCCTAAAACATGTTGAGGTTAATTGGTGATTCTAAATTGTCCGTAGGTGTGAATGTGAGTGTGCTTGGTTGCCTGTCTCTAAGTGTAGCCCTGTGATAGACTGGTGACCTGTCCAGGGTGTCCCCTGCCTTCACCCTGAGTCAGCTGGGATAGACTCCAGCCCCCACGACCCTAGTGAGGATTAAGCGGTGTATAGATAATGGATGGATCGATTTACTTAATTTATGCGAGCTCATTTTATTTCAGCTCTAAATGCTGCTCATCGCTGTAGTTGCTGACCAAAATGGAGATCTTCAAAAGATCACTTCCAGTTTCTACTTGTGCTCATCCCTGCACATTCTCATGCACTGTCACATTCGGCTTTTGTGTTGTTTTTCAGGAGATTCTGAAGGTCTGACGAGAACGAGGTCGACAGAGAAGCCTGCCATTTGTAGACCCCCAGTCAGGCCTCCGGAGCCCCCTTCCAGATGCCCCACTGCACTAAAGCCCCCCAGTGCAGCCAGCGCCGAGAGCACGGCCACGTCCTAGTAAGTGCTCTTCAGAAGTACAAAAGTCTCTCACCACAAGCTTTTAGGTATGCAAATGAGAAGAGGTCCAATGCATATTCAACTACAGGATGTGCCCTTTTTAATCAAAAACAATACAATGCACTGTTTAGGCAACTTTTAAATTGTGGCAGACATGCAAATTCCAGTGTCTCAGAATCCGCACTTAAGCCATTAGGAGCTTTCTTAATTAAAACCGTCAAATAAACGAAATGAATGAACAATAGAGATATTTGTGGTGGTGCTGATACATGGGCCATATTTTGGCATAGACACAATGAAACCACAGATCCTCCCTGTCAGCACCGCGGGCTGTTGATGGTGGTGCCATCATGATGTCTTTCTGAGACAAAGCATCAAATCAGAGAGACACTTTTTACGATGCCAATAAAAAGCGTTCACCCCACTTGGAAGTTTTTCCCTTTTATTGCTTCACAACATTGCATGTCCATGTTATTTTAGTGAACAGCCCTTTTTAAGCTACCAAGTCTCATTTGGCCCGAGGTCTGAACTCTGACTCAGTCACTCCAGAACATTCACCTTGTTGTCTTTAAACTATTTCTGTGAAGCATTGCCTCCTTGCTTCGGGTCATTGTCTTACTAGAAACCAGACCTTCTTCCACTTGATTTTTGAGTCTCCTACGTGTCCTCTGGTGAACTGTAGTCAAAAATTTAACATGGGCTTTTAAATTATTATTTTTTTTAACGAAACTTTCCCATAAAGAGAAACAGCAGGAAACAGTTGCTGTAGCACCGTCTCTCTCATCTCAGGCGCTGAACCGTGTACAGTTGTCCTCAGATGTACTCATACCCTCCCATTAAAGACGGAAAAAAACAGCTAGCACTGAAATAAGTTGAAATTGACAAAAGTAACAATAAATAAAAATTTATTGAAAATCATGACATTGCTTTTGAATTGTGGTCCAACAGAAATATAAAAACAAACAAACAAACAAGCATGATAGGACCCATAAACTAATATTTAGTTGAACAACCCTTTGAGCCAATCACTGCAATCAAGTGTTTTCTGTAACTCTCAGTCAGACTTCTGCACCTGTTGACAGGTGTTTGGATTTCACTGCTCATCAGCAAAGTGCTTTAATTTGTCTGGGACAGTTTTTTTTTTTTTTTTTTAATTATTCTTTTCAACCACAATTCAAAAACAATGTCTTATTTCACTAAATTATAATTTAGCAAATTTTTATTTATCGTTACTTTTTTCAGTTTCTAGTTATTTGAGTGACTATTGCCTTTTTTTTTTTTTTGCCTTTTCTTTAATGGAAGGGGATGAATACATTTGAGGACGTCTGTATCTCCTCCTGGACTATTCTTTCTTGCTCAGTCTCCGTTTTTGAGGGCAGCCAGCTCTAGACAGATTAACTTATGTGCCATATTCCTTCAATTTCTTAATGATGAATTCTCCAGTGGCTTAGAAATTCTCTTGTATCCAACCCCTGACTTATACTTTTAAATAATCCTTTCACCTTGTTGTTTGGAGGCTCTTTCTGGTGTGGTTATAAGTAGGAGTACTAATCCATCAGTGACTGGGTGTCTTTATACTATAGTCACTCTAAACACATTGACTGCATTCAGTTCGTCTCCATTTCTACGTCTAATTCTGTCACTTCTAGCACCAATTGGCTGCATCTGTGTAGAATCATGTCTCTTTAAGCGGGATGAATACAAATAACTTATTTTACATTTTATATATTTAATCAGTTGGTGTTACTTTGTAGAAACCTGTCTTCACTTTGACATGAAAGAGTCTTTCTTTGGGTAAATCCTTGTCAAAAAAGCCAAATTAAATTGACCACGATTCAGTGTTGAAAGTAATAAAAGGGGGGAAACTTCCAAGGAAGGTGAACACTTTTCATAGGCTCTGTATCTCATTATCTCACTCCGGTGGCCTGACTGCACAGCGGATTGAATTAACTTTGCGATAAGGTGGACTGTGATTAGTATGAAAGCCAGGAGCAGCCTCGGTGACAATTATTTTGTATTCAGGATGATGAGAATGGATTTTAAAATATTTCTATGACACTTTATAAAATGTGATAAAAAGGGGGTGTAGACGGCAGCAGCTCAGCCGCACTGCACTGAAACAGCCCATTTAGAACAGTGCTATGATGAAATGAACCTACATTGCAGTATTTTAAAAATGCTAAAAAAAAAAAAACACACTCTGGGGTCATGTAAGACTTTCATTAACTTGCTGAGAAGGGACACAGTGTGGGGCATTTGCAAAAATGATTGATATGCAAGCTTTTGCATTTGCTTGTGTTTTGCTGTTTCCTGCCTTCAAATGGACAAATCTACGTTTTTGCAGGTTTAACTTGTTGATTTGTTAAGTTGATTTTAACAGCCTGTTATCTGGACAAGGCCTTCTGCTTCTAATGAGTGCACACAGCTGCATCACAAACCACTTCTACCAACAGTTTCTGCATCTACAACACAAACATGCCACTTATTGTTTGTTTGTTTTTTCTCTGCAGTGTTGCATCTAAAACCAAGTTTTTTGAGAACGCTTCCAGGAAAGTTGTCAGGTATGTAAAGGACCTTTTCTTTGTTTCTGCTCCAGTTTGTTCTTTGCTTTCGCTCAGGACAGTAACCTGGTAGAGTGAAGTAATTAAGACCACAACACAAGGTGGGAATAATCCAAATGACTTGCAATATAATTTAATAAATGAATAAATGTAAACTACTGAGCTGCTACTGAGGAGTGTGTGTTTGTGTGCATGGAAGTTCTCTTCCCCCCCAACACACTAACTTGTTGATACCAACTCTTGTTAAATTTAGCCTCCTATTTTGGCTCATCTTGGCTCATGATGCAGTAACCGCTTTGTGAGTTGGAAACAGACACATCTTGTCTTGCTTGATTTGCACGGATGAGCCAAGTTAAGGTCCTCGCTGTCGGGCCCTGAGCAGGCAGCGATGGAGGCTGTAAATGAAGAATGTCCGAGTGGGAGGAATTTGTGGGAGTTTTATCAAAGAGAGCTCATCTCTTTATTGTTCTTTTTTGTAATCTCTATTCATTTTACGTACAGTTTACATTAGCGTGTCCAAACGAGAGGTTGTGGCCTCTCATTTGGACTGCAGAAGCACAGACTTTAGTAAATGGTGCCCTTCTGAGCAGGCTGTCTGACACCAACACTGAAGATTCTGTAGTTCAGTATTATGTAGATCATCTCAAGTTTAACAATCATTTCTTTACTCCGTGCAGTATTATCACACATGGTTGTATTACACAACCAACCAGCTGGAACGTTGCTGTAAATCATTAATTGATTTTTTCCTCTCTTTCAATCTAGTCCACCGACCTCTCCATCACCAACAGCAGGGACAAATGTAAAGAAACCGGTGAGATTTACTGTCATTTTGCAGTGCATTGAGTGCTGTTTTTTCCCCTTTTTGTCATAATATTCTGGCGTAATAACCAGAAAATGACCTTGTTTTTGTTTTGTTTCCTCAGAACTAATGTTGAGGAGGCTTTGACGACATCATGTGACTGCTGCATGCGCTCTTGGGTGCAGATCACCACTAATGAACTTGGTCAACTGTGACTGTATGAGAATTGACTGAAGGAAAAGCTCTCAACAGAACTCTTATTTAGTTCCGTTATTAGCGGTGTTGTAAAGGCTCACAGGAGCAAACTGTCTCTAGAATGACCTCGCAAGGTAACTGGTTCTGTATTTGATCCAAAGTTAGTCAGCAGTAAAAGCCCTTTTCCCCCCTTGTTCCACACCTGTCGAGTAATATTACAATTTGTAGTCATTTTACTGCATTTAATTGTTTGAACAACTCTTGGCCACGACGTGTCTGCGTTGTTAACACTCGTTAGATTTCCCAAAGAGGACTCATTGATTTAAAACTGACTTAATCAGCTTTCATTTGAAAATGTAAAATAGTAGTCTAGATATTAACTTCTAGATTTTATGAAATGGTCTATGCATTGTAGTTGAGATGAGAAAAACTCCTTGCTTACACATAAACTACTAGAAATTATATTTCAGTATTAAAACAAATAGTGTGGGACGAAACGTACTAATGAGATAAAAAACTGGATGAAAAATTAGCTACATTCAAACTAATGATCTCTTAAAGCTGCTTCAGTTGGTCATAAAAAATAGTTAGAACAAACTTACATCTTGTTCGTCAGTTGAGACAGAACTCAAACAAAAGTCACTTTTTGAGAGGCATTACAGAAAAGTATTTTGCTCAAGTGTCGGCCTGTATCCAGTCAGCCTACTTTAACTTTACAGTGAATGTAACGGTCGTCTTTTGTCGTTGTTTTTGTCTTTTTAAAACAGATTACCAAGTGTGCATTCCTTCACTTTTGACCTGTTGCAGGTCGGTCAGGTTGTACAGGAGAGTCCTTAAAGTTTACCTGAATTTATTGCACCTCAGATGAATGGCTGCGATTCAAAAGCAGGTCGAACATGAAAACACAACTGCTTGTTACAATATGTGAATATAACACTCCATTGTTTTTGATTTGTATTTCTTTTGCTCTTAAAGCCGCTATGTTAATTTTTCGCTCGTATTTTTGATAACCCAACCTGAAAATACCCGTTGTTGTCTGGTTTTCAAAGAGGGAAATAAACATGAAGAGCTCTTAACACGTGTCATGAATGTTATTATTGTTTTCATTTTTAGACGAGAGCTGTTTCGTCGTTCACTTTTGTGTTACTGAATGGTGTTTTTGTCCTGTCTCTTTCTATGAAACTTCTGTTTCACATTTATTATGTCATATTTATTTTTTAGGGTCCGAGCACTAATGGTGCAAGGACCCTATTGAAACCCTTGTGATTATTAGGGTCCGAGCACCTAAAAGGGTGCGAAGACCCTATTGGAACTGCTCGGATTATTATTATTATTATTATTATTAGGGTCCGAGCACCAAAGGGTGCGAAGACCCTATTGGAACTGCTCGGATTAATATTATTATTATTCGTGCCAAAGACACGCGTTTTTGAGGCCCTAAACATACTCGAAAACTCACCAAAATTGCCATGTACATCAGACCCACAGTGCCACCTTCTAAATTGTCAAAAGCACATTTGGCCTAGAGCTACGCAATTTTGTAGGCATATAGAGCAGGTCAGGATGAATAAAAAAGTCAGGCTTGGCCAAGTTGTAAAATGCAACACGGCTCAACGGCGCCCCCTACAATATTTCAACAGATTCCCATTGGGGCTATGTTTGATTTACAACTACTACATTTGCTACACATATGTAACAACTTGTGAC